TATCAGAGGTCATAGAACATGTGGCTGGGCTACAGAGGACGTTTGTACAACCTCCTCAACGAAGTGCTGAAGTTTAGAGCATGAATAACTTCCCAGTCAAGGCCAGCCCTACCATTAGGCAAAATGAGGTAACTGCCTCAGGTGGCAGCTGATGGAGGGAAGCAGCAACGCTGCCCCAGCTGTCTCAGCTGACCCCCCTGGGCATTCTCCTCTGTTAGAAACCAGAGTTGTGTGTACCACAGACCTGTCATGTACCCTCTACTGGACGACACTATCCCATGCTCATTCAACAACCAGTTCATTGCATCTGCACATTGAATGGGGAGCGCCATTTTGTCCTGAGCCTCTGGCTAGGGCAAGCCCTGCTTTTGATGTTCCCAAACCAAAATATGGAACCGCTATATTTTCCTGACCTAGATGAGTCACAGGGGAACTGTTATGTACTGAAGTTTTCACCCTGGGCCAGCAGGGGGATACTGTAGATAGTTTTCACTCAGATCCGCATATGCAAATAAGGAATTGAAAGTGACATTCGGTGATTGGATAGTTACAGAAAGTTGTTACTGTTGCTTTGTAGTTGAGCTCTATATAAGCAGGTTGGCTGAACCCTTCAGTTCAGTTCTGTTCTGGCCTATAAATAAACAAGAGCTGTGTCATCTGATATGTTCACCCACAACTTAACAGGAACTTCCATCGAAGGCCTGATTCTATGTAGGAAAGGCAGCTCAGATACAATACTGGTAGAAAAACATAATCCCAGCATCTGCTCTTTTCTCTTACTGAGGCTTTTGAGCTGGAGCTGCAGGAACCACATTTGGGCTCTGCTGAATCCCACCAGCTGTTGTCAAAAAGTGGTTTCCTCACAAGGAAGGCCTTACTCACAAGGAGACTTGGACTCCCAACGAGCCTTTCCCTGGAGTCTTCCATTTCTCCTTATGGGGCAGGTGTTCCATCTGCCATTCGCGTTGCCGTTCCTCACCTCTCGTTTAGATCATAGGAATACCCATACACTTTAATGTGATGGTTTGACCTCAGGTTACAGACTCCGCTAACCTAGAAATAGTACCTCAGGTTAAGAACTTTGCTTCAGGATGAGGACAGAAATCGTGCTCCGGCGGCCCAGTGGCTGCAGGAGGCCCCATTAGCTAAAGTGGTGCTTCAGGTTAAGAACAGTTTCAGGTTAAGAACGGACCTCCGGAATGAATTAAGTACTTAACCCAAGGTACCACTGTACTCGTAATCTGGGGAACCGGGTTCGCATCTCCGCTCCTCCACATGCAGCTGCTGGGTGACCTTGGGCCAGTCACACTTCTCTGAAGTCTCTCAGCCCCACTCACCTCACAGGGTGTTTGTTGTGGGGGAGGAAGGGAAAGGAGAATGTTAGCCGCTTTGAGACTCCTTTGGGTAGTGATAAAGCAGGATATCAAATCCAAACTCCTCCTCCTCTTCTTATTCTTCTTGCTCTAGACTGGGCTGTACTTTGGGGCCAGTGCTCAGTTAATTCACTCATGCCCTCCGATGAAAACTTGGACGTCCTCCCATACTCTCTAACATTTCTCCAATAAAAATAAGGACATCATAAGGAAAAGTGGGGCATTCCAGAATCAAATCAGAAACAGGGTGTAAATCTGGGACTGTCCCTGGAAAATAGGAGCACTTGGAGCGTCTGTTCACTGCGTCCCAAAAATACAACATTGGGCTCCTCCCGGCAACCTGTTTATAGAGCATTTATCCTGATTTGCCTGCGCAAAGCTCACACAGAGGTCAGAGCACAATTCAAAGTGTTGGTGCTGACCTTTAAAGCCCTGAACGGCCTCGGCCCAGTATACCTGAAGGAGTGTCTCCACCCCCATCGTTCAGCCCAGACACTGAGGTCCAGCTCTGAGGGCCTTCTGGTGGTTCCCTCATTGCAACGAGTGAGGTTACAGGGAACCAGGCAGAGGGCCTTCTCGGTAGTGGCGCCCGGCCTGTGGGACGCCCTCCCACCAGATGTCAAAGAGAACAACAACTACCAGACTTTTAGAAGACATCTGAAGGCACCCCTGTTTAGGGAAGCTTTTAATGTTTGATGTATTACAGTACTTTAATATTTTTTTGGAAGCCGCCCAGAGTGGCTGGGGAAGCCCAGCCAGATGGGCAGGGTATAAATAATAAATTATTATTATTATTATTATTATTATTATTATTAATCCTGATTTGGTTGCGGGAAGGTGAACATTTATCCTGCATTCGCCCTCATTTGCAATGTGTTCATACAGCTTTGTGAGAAACATGCATTCATCCCACCCTTTCAGTGCATTTCAGCACTGCTTCCTAACTGTAGAAGCCTGCTTCTAGTTTAAAAGTCGATTTGCTGTGTTAGGCTGGCAGAGGGCTTTAATCAGTATTAAATGCACAAACCTAAATTTCCCGGTGTGCTCTTGAATCTGTCCCCAAAAATGGTCTGGAGGCACCCAGAGTTTTTGCAGCAAATGTTATCATGGCTGCTCTTTGAGATTGTATTCTAGGATACAAGAGATGAAGAAGCATGATCAGAAGGACAGCTTGGTATTTGGAATTCAGCCTTGGCTGAATCCAGCTATTTGCAGAAGGGGAGGAGAAACCATATCTTCTTCTTCTTCTTCTTCTTCTTCTTCTTCTTCTTCTTCTTCTTCTTCTTTTGTCTTAACAGCCCCTCTTAGGAACATAGAAATGGATTTCCCCCTGCTGCTCTGTTGATAGCAATCTTTGCTGTTAGTGTGACTGAGCCAAGAATTAAAGCCTCGTTTTCTGAAAGATTTGATATCCATTCTTTTCTAGCACTGACTCCGTAAGTGGAGTGACAACAAAGGGGAGTTGTTATAAACAAAGCTTTGGGATCGCTTCCCCCTTGAGCATGCTTTTGCTTTAATTACAGTCTGCCAAATATATGCATGCCATTTGTCAGCGATTTGAATTGAGCTGTCTTTCTTGCCCTGCTCATTATTCACAAGAGCAGTCTGAAGGAAAGAAAGGAAATAAAAGTGGGACGGCTCATTGCTGCCCCCCTCTGGTGCAAAGAGCATTTTGGTTTACATGTCAGGATGTGTGAGCAGCATCCATCTCAGGAGGACAGAATCCTGCACCACAAATTGCTTTTGAGGGATTGGGGTTTTTTGGGGGGGAGAGGGGTATCCCTGTGGTCATCCACGTGTTTTTGGGACTCAAATCCCCACCATCCCTGGTTCCCCATCCCTAATTTAATTGTATTTATGAAAGTAATGGCTCATGAAAGGGCCTTTTCTTCTGAGGGACTTAACAGACGAGCAGGAAACTGAAGCAAGCAAAGCCCCATGAATAAGGAAACCTGCTCACAAACACAGTTATTGAGCATGTGTGGAGGTCCGCAAAGCAGAGTAACTGCCGCCATCTTTAAAAAGGGTGCAAGCCAGTCAGGCCAGCCAAGAGGAGGTCAAGGACTGAGCAGCTGCTACCACCAGGCCATAATGAAGAAGTCTTGGGGTTTATAAGCTTAAATAGTCCTTACTGGAGGAAGAAAGCGGAGAACAGAGGCCAGAACAAGTGTGAGGAACCTTTGGCCCACCAGATTTTGCTGAATTACAACTCCCAACATACCTGGCCATTGGCCATGCTTGCTAGGTGAAATATACTTGGAGTCAAGAGTGGATTTCATGCTCTTTATTCAGCTCATGGTGGTGAGGAGGAATGGGAGTTCCCCCAGAATGTCTGCCTTATATACATTATTTACACAATGGGCCCCACATGGTTGGCTAATTCCGGGATTCTCCTGTAGGCCAATCAGGTTGCGGATTCCCTTCCACCTGAAGCTGGATTGGGTGGCTCCTGTGGACCAATCAGACTGATGCATTCTGGATCCTATTGTTCTAGGACCAATCAGACTGCTGCATTCTGAATCCTATTGTTCTAGGACCAATCAGACTGCTGCATTCTGAATCCTATTCAACTCAGTACATAACACTAGGGGTGATGGGAGTTGTGGTTCAGCAACATCTCATGGGCAAAAGGTTCCCCATCCTTGGGCCAGGAGGACTATCCTCTCCTGGCTCCACTGTGGTACTAGAGTATGGGGGAACTCAAAAGGGGTCTCACCTACCACCTCAAATCTCTTGGCAAAAGGATACTGAGGAACTAATACTTTCCAATGTCCCCCCCCCCCGATAAACTTGGGATGGCATTGTTGTTGTTGCTGTTGCCCACCCATCTAACTGGGTTGTCCCAGCCACTCTGTGCAGCTTCCAACATGCATAAAAACATAATAGAACATAAAACATTAAAAAAAACCTTCCCTGTACAGGGTGGCCTTCAGTTACTTATCTCCTTGGCTCAAGGATTGCATAAGTCCATACCCTCCAATGAAAATAGGGA